CAATAGTTAAATCACGACATTTAGATACCAATAATCCGGTTTAATAACCACACAACATATTCAACTTAATAAGTGACAATCATTACACAACATCAAGTGTTTAACAAATACATTTCCACAACTAGTAATCATTATGAGTCTGACTACTCGACACAGTATGACCTCTAGGCAGTGGAGTGACTCGGAGTGGGAGTCTAAGAGATGCCATTACCTACATTGCAGCAAGTCTCGATGTGCTGAGCAATGCACCTGAGCTAATCACTCATCTGCAAAAAGGAAATAAGGGGGTGAGTCTTACAGACTCATTGATCATCAACCCCGTGAGTAGGGCGTAGATGGGAAACAAGCTAAAAGTAGAAGATTTGAATATTAAAAAATATAAGAATATATAAAAACAAATTAACTCAAAAGGGAGGTTTGTGCCTTATATGTAAAACTAGCAAGTTAATGCAAAGTAGGCATTTAAATCAAATATCAAACCATTTCATGTAAAATTTCTACCATCGAAATCGTTTAAGTATTGGCTTAAAGCAATCAATATCATCGCTTGAGCTCCCATGGAATCCATCATTAACAAAGTTTATAAGCAAATCCATAAATCACCTCGTTCACGAGAAATTAAAATCCAACGTCATCGTATAAATAAGGGAGCTGCGAAAAAACAGTAGTTTTTCACCATGTGAAAAACTACGTGTGTAAAAACCCAAAGAGATATCACTAATAAGTAGGAATAGAATAATAAAGCTCGTGGACCCGCTTCCATGTAATAACATCCGGGAGCTCGGCTCCACCGAATCCCCACAGCCATGGCAATCTCAACGATGTTGGCCAGCATTGGAGAAATTAGGTGGTCGCAACTGCATATATCACTGGTGGCCAAGCCATGTACAATCACACACCATGGCCCCAACCATGTCTAACAGCCTGTCGGTGACTCAAAAGTTCTCTAGCTAGAGCTCACTTGTGCACAAGGGTCACACTTAACCGAAGTGACAACCGACTTACTCTCGAATCTCTCGGTTTAATAAAACCATTTAAAAGTCAAATTAGGTTTTCAAAAGATTATTCCAAATCATTTATAAAATACTGATCATGGTAGTTTACTAAAACCCCTCATTGTATCACTTTGCAATGTAAAACCTTTTTGCATAAGGGTTAGATATCAAATCAGCATGGTGAGTATGAAATTCATTCATGAATGCACATCACACAACCAATAAGGTATATTTTTGACACAAATTATATTGAAGGGCTTGTTTCCCGATTTTAAAATCCTTTACGTATATAACTTGTATATATTCATATAGTCAAAACACATTTCAAATACTTTGGCATTCACAAACTCCTAGAATATCTACCAGCTCATGCTTCTCACAAACTTGCATTTAAAATAAATTATTTCATATCGATAAATATATATATGTACATAATTATGGGATTATTTTTAAATGGACACCTCCTACTCACCTCACAATAGCGGGACACTATGTCACTATTGACTTAAGCGCGTATCTAGCAAATTTCTACTCTTCAATCTCTCGTTACCTCGTACGGCACGCCACAACGGCAGCTCTACTTACTATACTCTTCCTAGCATCCACTCAAATCCAATTTATTTAATTATACTCATAAATGGCAGCATATCAACTAATAATCCTTAACTAAATCTCATTGTTTTATCAACAATACTCTCAAACATTTATCACACAATTCATACACTTTAACCAACCAAAGTTTATACAACACAATATATTCACTTTGCATGCTTACCTCTCGGTTTAATATTGAATTTCCCAAATGTAATTCACAGCTTCTTCACTTCTAAGATTACCTTTGCTGCCACAAACACAATCAATCAACATATATCTCATTTTTCCTTTTTACGTAGGATTTCAAAACTAAAACACTTACCCATTACTCATTTAGCTCTAAAATCACCATGGATTCTAAGATCGACTTGCATGCATGCCTCGGGTCCTTTGAATCCTTGTGGGTTCTTGCTACCACAAACAAAAGCACACTTGAAAATTGATTTACAAAGTATGCATGTCATGAAAAATGAAGATCTCATTACTTACCTTGCCTCTAGTTCACTAAGTATGCATGTCATGAAAAATGAAGATCTCATTCTTCCTTTCTCTTCTTTCTTTCTTCTCCTTTCTCTTTTCTTCTTGGTAGTGGATGGATTTCTCAAGGCCGAGCCTTGAAAATGCCTTTGGTTTTCTCCATTTTGTGCTTACATGGGCAGATTGCCTAAGATCACTTGCCTTTTACCTTATTTTCCTTCCTTTTTTCTTTATTCTCTCTCATGGGCGGATTGCCCAAGGTTGCATGTCTTGGTGGCATGTTTCTTTTCTCTTTTATGTGGCAAAACCACAAGGCAAAAGCCTTGGCAACATTTCCAGCAGTCACATTTCTTTTCCCATACTTTTTTATTCATTTTTATTTCTTAATTTCTTTATTCCACTCTTTCTTTTTTTTATTCCTTTATTTGTTTCTTATTCTCATTGGACCAACTCACTCCTCACTCACATTTAATGCACAAATTGCCCCTTTTTCTCATTGTTCCAAAATCTATCCTAATTATCCTCCATCCACCACCTCATTTTCTTATTTTTACTTTTATTTCCTTTGCCATCTATTTCTACCAATTACACTTCACGCACAACTTTTCTTTATATGTTAATAGGCCATTTGTTACACCATTCAATCACATGTAACCCACTTTCTTCTTTCTTAATTGGACCACCAAATGCATCAATCACATTACATGCAATAAACTTAATCTTATTCTTTCTTTTACTTCACATGGTGGGGGACCCACGTGTTCCCCACTAACTTTTCCTTTTTTGCATATAATAATTTGTATGTAATAGTGGGTTTCACATGTACACCTCACATTCCACATAATTTAACTTTCCTTGATTAATAAATTCCCATTTAACTTCAAATATTAAAAATTACACTTAAGTCCTCAATTTTTTTTATTTATCGTGCTACCCTCCAAACTTCATGCTTTATAATTTAGTCCTTCCAACACTTCTTAAATTTCAATTTCCTTCAATTTCCTTCCTTTATATATGTACAAATATAATATAAGGTTTGCACTCCCTCAATGTGTCAATATAATATTTAAATAAATACTTACCCGCTCGTGCTCTATTTAATAAAGACACGCGAATCCCACAAATGTCGTTTTTCTTCAAATTTCTTTCTTATTTCATCTCCCTCAATTAGATTAGTCATATAATCCTCCTCCATGACTAATCTCAACAATAATTAAAATAATAATATTTTAATATTATTTTATTTCAAAATATTCTTTTCGCTCACTACTGCTCCTTGGCACTTAAATTTTTGTCAATTGACCCTTTGTCTTATCGATTAGGTCTTATTGACTTCTATTCGCAAATACGGGGTGTTATAATACTTGATGCAAATACGTTGACAAGCCTAAATTTCATTGACTGGTTTTGTAATATCAAGATTGTCTTGAAACAAGAGAAAAAAGGCTTATGTCCTAGATGTTGGGATGAGCTTTACAGCCAATTGAGATTGGTTAAGGCTTGATTCTAATCATGCGACAACATCATTCATGTTGAATGATTAACGGTTTTCCTTGAACAATAAGACATCAATTATAACAAGTTATAAGTCTAATTGGATGAAGTCCATGAGCTTAATATGCCTTGCAAGGGAACTGTAATGGGTTGAAGTTATGAGATGCTTATACATCAAAGCATAATCTCAAAATGTTCCTGGTCAATATATCATTGGGATTGGACATCAATGATACCTAGATACTAGTACATTTTATGTTCTTTACTTAAGAAGTAAGCAACCGATCTCATAAGTTAAAGTATAGAGATACTTGGAACTAGAATGTAAGTGCTTACCTAGGAGAGTATGTTCACTAAACATGACCCACCATGAAAAGTACATTTGGTGTTTCACTCATGTGTCTATGTAATACTTCTCATGTGTTAGTTGCATAAATACTTCCTAGACTTGAGACACCAGGTTGTTTTATGTGTGGAGTGCTATACTTTGATTTCATTCCTATGGGTGCCTAACCAAGGATGCCAAAACAAGATGCTTTTGAGTATAGTATGAAGCATGTGAAGGCCAATGAGTGGTCCATATAGAAATTATTACCCTAAGTGATGCAGGGGACATATCCTAACTATTCTTGGTTGACATTAGCTTACTGAAGTCCTTGGCCAAGGTGACTTAGAGATTATAAACGGAGTTTCATAAGTCTTTATAAAGCTAATGATCAAACTTTAAGAACGAATATAGAGATCAATAAGAATAGACACTACACCATACTTTTATCATCTTCGAGATATATGATGAGAGAATGAATTACACTGAAGGTTGATAACTGAAAGATTGAGTCAAACCATCTTAACTCTTTTAACATTTAAATGGCCATGATGGATTGCTAGATCCCAATCATGGTCTATGAACTCTAGACAGTTAACTGGATTAATGATAAATTTAAAGTAGTTTAAATTTATCTAATTCTAAGTTTAACTTAAGAATTATATGTTGAGTTTATTGCTAACGTGTTAGAAGCCTAATGGGTTACACACCTAAAATGAATGTTGAAAATAAAATGGGAGAGGTGATTAAGTTGGACTTAATCAAATTAGAAGTTATGAGCTTCTCAAGCGCTTGATTAAAATTGTTTAATTAAGATGTGCCTAATTAATTAAATTATTTAATGAAATCATTGGGCTTAATTAATTAAATTAAATAATTAAGTTGTATGACCTAATTAATGAAATTTGTTTAATTAAGTCATTGGGCCTAATTGATTAAAATTTTTTAATTAAATTGTTGGGCTTAATTAATTAAATTTTTTAGTTAAGTTGTTTGACCTAATTGATGAAATTAAACAATTAAGTTAATTGGGCTTTTTAAGGGCTTAATTAAATTTTTTATTCAAATTATTGGATTAATTGGCAATTACGAAATAGTTTTGTAATTAGAGTATAAAATTAATCAAAGGTATAAATACCTTGCTATAGCCTCCAAACAAAATGAGATAAAACAGCTGAAAAAAAGAAAAAAAAAGCATATTAGAAGTTCCTTTTGTCTTGCCGTTCCTTGTGTGAAGAAAAATAGCTATTCATTCACTTGATTTCTTTTGTGCGTTCAGCCCCACAATTTTGTGTGGATTATGAGTTTATGAAACTCATTTGCTAGCACATTGTCAAGACACAACACTCCCAATCCTTAAAGAAGGATTTTCTAATTCATTAGTGTGAATCACCATTAGAGGCTGCATAAGGATTCCTTGGACAGCTTTGGTTTGCAACAGCAAGGCTGAGGAGGTTGAGCTTTTTGAGGGCTGATTAGGCGGTTTAACAAAGGATTCATCAACCTTTGTTATTACGTAAACTTGATATGATCATATATATTTTATTTTTAATTTAATTTTGTACTCAATTTGGCATGAAAGAGATTCTAGTAGGGTGAGGCCAAATTTAATTTTTAAATTTATTTTTGCTGCATTTTTTTATATTTGACGCATGATCAACCCTCACCCAACAGTGGTATTAGAGCCACCTTCATTCCATTTGAGTGCTTGTTCATGTTCAATGGATGCTTGATTAACAAATAGTTGTTTTGCATTTTGATTTGGTGTGATTTTGTTAAAAATCGATTTTTCAAAAATCTGCTTTGCGAATTTCATTTACTTCTGTCCAGCAACATTTGTACCCTCCTTTAATCTTATTGTAACTTATTTGAATCATATATAGACTTAACTAATGTGTGTTTTACATTGTGCAAAGGAAGCACAAGAAAAAAAGGACACCATAAAGCACGGTTTTGAAGGCTGTCTTGCAAGGCAGCACACACATAGTTTTAGGTGCAGAATTTTGCTTCTATTTGTTCTTAATTTCTAGCAAAAAAAAAATATGTAATTGTTCCACATTTATTGCTGGATATGTGGACAGAAAAATCATGAAATGTTCACGATTAAATAGGCTGATTTTAAGCAAGAAATTGGAGCAAAAAGTGAAAGCAGTACAGCTCACTGTTATGACATGAATTTCAGTTTTAATT